GGACTTGAGGGTCATGGGGACAGCATTTGATTGCTTTGTTTCGTATTTTTTTTATAAATGCCTACCGTTGGTTAATAAGACAGTTATATCACTTTCCCGGGAAGGCAAATAACATGACGAGGTTTTTTATTAATTAGAACACCATTTTTTCAGAGGTCACTCACAACAGCTCCACCTAGTGGAAATGTCACGTGCCGCCATTGGTCAAATTAAAGTCACATACCCAGAGCCGTACTTCTACTTTAGTTTGCAGGTGTCGGAGAAGCCCAATTGTGGGATTTGCCACGGGCCCCACACCCCTCTATGGACGGCCCTGCTTATACACAAACGACATTTTCCCCCATTCACAAGAGCGACTAATATACATATAAACACAAACCTATGTGCACTGGCGTCTTGATTTCAAATTAAATTTTTGCTTTATATAAACAAAATATTAAATTGTGATTATACATAGCAACCATTTCCCCGACTGCAAAACACTTGGCAGAATCTTCCTGAATAAGTGATGAGACTATGGAGGTTTTCAAGTATAATAGTGAAAAATAAAGTTAACTCTACACATGAAGTAGTGTACTTTACAAATTATTACATTAATATCACCAGTGGGGCATTTGCGCCGGATACACCACTGAGGTTAGTGGAGGGGGAGGCATGATGTGAGCACGCGCGAAACCAGCGCATGTATTCTTATACTGCGCCCGAAACGTCGAGATTTATTTTATTTTATACCAACGTGACTTTACCTAAAGAACCAAAGATTATGGAAAGCTTCAAATCCAAATTATTCTTATACTGTATAATTGTTAACATTAGCTGGATGCAACATAGCTGTATTTATGACAAATTTCAACTCACAAAGGCCATACGACCACAATCCACCGAAGCAATGCAAACAAGCTTGCTGAGCGGCGACTGGAGGGAGGTTCTCTTTCGCGTTAAAAAATTGCCAAAAATAAAAAAATCAAGCATAGTTACAACTGCACAACCATATCCTGAGGTAAATCCTGAACAGTGTGATGTCCCACCCCCACTCAATGTGTGCAGTTACTACTATAGAGTCAGTAGATACTGACTCTATTGGCTACTGTATATGTCGGTAGACATATACAGTAGCCAATCGTGATAATCGGAAGTGCGTATTTTATCTGTGAATGTGCAGCAGCATTGACTGGCAAGAGAAAAGCCTCCATGCAGTCAGTGTGCCGTAAAAAAAGTTTATTGCAGCTCAAGCAGGTGGAGCCTGGCAGTCACAGCCAGCGGGGCAAAACCACATTGGCCCGAGAGAGATCAAGGTCGATGTTTACTCCCTACCAGGATTTGAACTCACGAATCTCCAAGTTCAAATTTTGAATTATAACCATTGTGCCACCCAGACAACTATACAGCGTGTCGACTTTCATACAGGTGATGGTATTGTTATTAGGTTAGGAGAGAATTATCATTAAATGCCAGTGTATTCATCAACGTCATCCATGTTCTATCCACTGATAGATTAAGGGCCTACTAGATTAAGATCACCCCCCCCCGGATAAGCCTTAATCTGCTGTGAAAACAGAGGCTAATGTTAGCGGAAAAGGAACGGCGGGGATAGGACTATGGGGCACGCCTCACCACGCTATTTCTACTGTGTAAACGCGCTGCGTAAAGCGCGCTGTGTAAACACGCACGCGAGCGCTAGCACAGCGCAAACGACAGCGGCCGTATATTCTGCAGGGCATGCACCTCACGCGCACGCTCAAATCACTCCCACCACCCCCACGTTGCAGCCCTGCGCTCGCGCTCATGCAGTGCACAACGTCTCTCCACGCACACGCGCAACACACACAGATCAGAGACGCCACGCCGAGGTTCTGCCCACACACCCAGAAATCACATTACACCGATATTCTGTACTAGAGTTTATTAATGGCGCTAATACGCATTTCCCGGAGGAGGAATATTTCGTGAGGGGAGCCTAGCGTAACACACAACAACATCACAGCCAGTTATAGTCTGCTGAAAAACGAGAGCCACCGCCACATCGAGGGAAAGGGGCAACGTTGCCTTTGTTAGTGAGACATTTAGCCCGTTAATGTAAAGACATTTAACTTGGTAATGTAAATTGGTAATGTAACTCAGAGATTCGGAAATAACTGCTGACAATGGCAGGTAGGATGGAAACATCAACAACTAGTTAAGGCTTTGCCTGGTTAATAACATCCTTCCAATGCTTGCTCAATTTGTGCCCATCTTTATCGGTTAGATTACCCTCGTTTTTTAGCAGACTATAGCAGACTATAACTGGCTGTGATGTTGTGTGTGTGTCAATGAATTGGGCACTGACCTGGATCATTCCAGGGTAAATCTTTTTGCAGATGACACGATACTGATTACTGCTGGCCGCTCTCCGGATGACGTGATTGCTAAGCTCCAGGGTGATTTCAACAAACTACAACATCAGCTAGTTGCTCTTAAACTAGTCCTGAATACCTCCAAAACCAAGGAGCTATGCTTCTCACCAGGACTAAAGCAGGAAGTTATTTTCCCCCAATTACATTCCTTAAATAATTATAAAATAGAGCAAGTCAAGATATATAAGTATCTTGGGGTCATCCTTGATTCAAAACTGAATTTTAAAGATCACATTGATTATATTGGTAAAAAGACAAAAATAAAAAAAACTACGACGTTTCGATCGTGTTGCGATCGAAACGTCGTAGGTTTTTTTCTTATTTTCTTTGAACCTATCTACGTTACTTTACCAAAAGACCCAAATAATATAAACTTGCTCTTCTATAAATAAATGATCTCTTCTTTCAGTGTTGTGTGTCACTGCTATCCCTGACTTCTTAAGTATTATTATATTTTAATAACTACTGCTGATCACTGCACTGTACAATACGATAATTCCAACTACGTTATCAATACGACGTAGATTTCTGCAACTGCATTTGAAGTTGCAGTTACATTAAATTGACAAAACATGTAAATGCATCGCACGACCCATTACAAAAAGGAATAAAAAACAGTCAACTAGAGAAAGGTGCTGGGTGGGGGAAGGGGGGAGGTCAGGGCAAGGAAACGCTGGAGAGAGGAGAGCAATAACATGGCACAACCTGGGTCGAAGCGACCGGGGACCAGCACCAACAACAACGAGCCTCAGCCGGGGCAGCCAGAGCAGCACTAATTCACAAGGTTGTCCTCGGTGGGGCTGGGGCCCCTTGCTGACAAATCTCAGGACAGTCTTGAGAGTCCCTTGAACACCGATTCTCAAAGGCAGTGCCGACAAATTCCAGGACAGCTCCAGTAATAAACAAGGCCAAGGATAAATATAGAAAGCAGTGCCACGTTGGAAAAAGGACACAAAGAAGTGGCCAGGTAATGGTTAAGAGGTAGTGTATGAGTTTGGCCACGATATGGGGGGTGGGGAAGGACAACATAAAATAATGTGATGGAGAAAAGCAAAAAAAAAACGGAAGAGCTGCAAACGGGATGAGCAGAACGAGGGTTAAGCAACGACATTCTCATTGTGGCACCTCAACCTAATGACAGGCTGGGGGCAAGAGATAAGCACAGCGGGAAGTTGGGCATCGTAGCCACTGACACGCCACGTCATTGAGCCACTGTCAAGTACATTGCCGGACAAGCCGAGGCTCTGCTCATGCAAAATGTTTTCAAATGGGGAAGCACCAAAATAAGGAAGCACAGCTCTGCAGTGGAGAGACATGAAGTAAAATTTCTTCTTGCGTCTCCTGAATGGAGTGCCCACTGCTAGAAAGCGCCCAGAGAATCGTCGCTGGTGACCCAGCACTCTGCCATGTGACGTCTAAGTGTCCCAAAACACCAACACATCCGATGCGGACATTAAACTTTCTCGCGACAATGGAAATTTGTATAACGTGCCAAAGAACATCCCAGCAAACACCACAATATTGATCTTAAGTGATAATAATATCCACGTGATTAAACGAAAACATTTTTGGTATATAGTGTACAGTATTCTAAACGTGATCAAGTATGCAATTATTTATTATTTTCCTTATCTATTCCAGCTGCTTTGAATTCAACCTTAAGTTTGTTTAGTGTCTGGCTGTTATTTATCACTTCGTTATCCAAAAATAATTTTTGTTTATAGAATTTCCCCACACTTTCAATGCACTACCCATTATAACAATAGTGCATTATTTAAGGCAGTGCCATCGATTCCAACATTTTGCTCCTCAAGACATTTTAATCTGTTGCATCGTCTAGATTTGTTTTAATGCGACTTGTTTTGCTTGAAATTATTTTGGAACTCTCTTTGAGCTATGTTGAAGTGCAACTCACATTTCACCAGTCACTGATTGCTTCATGTGTTGGATTTGCTGAAGACAGAAACATCTCTGTAAATCTCAGGTTTGTGCATACTTCAAGTATTTCCTGGCTGTGATCTCCAATAGATGCTCACCTCCCATTTTTCACTACAATAAAGCACTTAGGAATAATTTTCTTACCTCTGCATTCCCTACGTTTGCATTTAGGCCACCCATTACATTATATAATTAATTTGATCTCATTTATTAGCTTGGTAATGTATTCGTATGTCTACTTCTTTATAATATTTGCTTGTTCTTGAAACTCGTGTTTACCTTAAAGTGATTCCAGCGCCTTAGTGTGAGCTTGCCAACGCTATCCAATTAACTCTTGAACCATAAAACTCTTGTCTGATAACCCTAAAGGACAAGGAAACTGACTCGATAATTATTTTCACTCTTCACAATTATTTTGTTCTCTACTTTCCTTTCAAACTCACTGACACCTACTATGTCTGATGTATTTCAATGCTGTCTCCAGTTCAACAATATTTTCTTCTTCAGATATAGTCTGTGCACTGTAAGTAACAATAGCCAGCGCATCTATACAGTACTATACATATGTAGAGGAGTAGTGTGAGCAACCATGAGGGAGCGAACAGAGGAAGGTGCGAGCGAGTTGACAGCCGAAGACGACGTCATGTCACGGGTGCTGTAAAGGGGTACCTTCGGGAACAAAGGCGGGTCCGAGCTAGGGGGAGGAGCCGCCAAAGGTGTCTTGAGGGGGACCCCGTGACGAAGGCGTGGTCGTTGTGGGGAACCAGGGCAAGAATCGGCTGGAAGAGGTCTCTCCCTCCTCGTCGCCGGGCGCTGTTGGATGAACGCCTTTCCCGTGCAGACGAGTGGGAGGGCCAAGGGAAAGCCGAGAGCAGGGCCCCGAGTTATCAGTAAGAATCGGCTGAGAGAGAGAGAGGGTTCTCTCTCCTCGTCGCCGGGCGGTGTTGGATTAACCCTCGCTCTGGTCAGACGAGTGAGAGAGCCCAAGAGATAGCCGAGGGCTGGACAATATAGAGTTCGGTGTCCAGGATAAGGACCAAGAAAAGAGAGCACCTACCTCTGGTGTGAGTTACAGTGTTGTGTGAACAGTGTTAATAAACGGCAACAGCCCTGAAAGTAAATACCGTCTCCGCGTGGTCGTACTGCACAACACATATATATGTGGGTACAATGCCAAACAAGGCAAAACTCCTAAAATCTGCACATTTTTGTGGCTTTGAGGACTACCACGGCTAAAAACTCGACTCTGCGATTATCTGATAATTATTTTCATGGAGGAGACGAATTTGTTTTATCATGGTGTATGATGCGTGAGAGGATCTGCCAATATATTTCCCCACATCAACGTGGATTATAGAAGTTTTACTGTAATGGCAAATGTTGGAAAAACCAATGGCTACGTAGTGCAGTAGTAGTAGAAATGTAAGCTGCATTAGTTTTCCGAGTGATTCTCCAAATCAATTCATGTTATGCATGTGTGTCTTCTAAGTACTCCGAATTAGTGCACATGCCGTAGGATGAGCGACAATGTTATCTTTCTTACTTAAGTTGTACTTACATTGTTTTCATTTGAACCCCTCTTAAATATTTGTTTCTGCAGCCATTGCTGAAGGCACTGGATCGCAGCAGAAATTGTTGGCAAAAGTTTAATCTGGCCACACCATACACTCGCTGCCGCAATCATTTCACCATTGAAGAAGATGCTTTTGTTGACCTGCTCAATATAACCTCACTCAGTTTGAATGGCAACAACCTTACATTCATTCCCAAAAAGCTGCCACCAAGTCTTAAAGAGTTATATCTGAAATTAAATCACACTACAACTTTAATAGTGGGGATTTTTCTAGCTTGGACAATCTGCAATGTCTCCATTTGGGTCGTTATTTTTAATTGGTAAACCCTTTTGATTTAAAGCTTTCGTGACTGTAGGGATTCATATTCTTGGTTATTTTGGTAAAGTCACGTAGAAGGGAAACAAGAACCAAGAAAATGGTAAACCCTTGGCAGAAATCTTACAATAGATCACAACATGCTTTTGCTCTGCCTCATCTAACTTGTAACAATCTTACAGATGTTTTGATAAATGTTCCAACCACTTTAGGCCATCTTAACATTAAACACAATGAAATTAGGAAAGTAATAAGAAATAATTTAAATGGCCTGGCACTCTTGGAAACCCTGGTTGCGGCCTTGAACTTCCAATGGTGCATCACTGCATTTTTCCCCTGCAAACCATGTCCGAACAATGCACTGTTCGACATCAACATATTTCTATTTGCTGACATACCATATTTAACCCATGTAGACTTAACTAGTACCTCACTTAAGATGATCCCACAGCAACTGTTTGAAAACAACTCTCAAAAGATATTTAGTTCTATCATGATTTTTAGGTGCTGACATTAAAGAAGCATATTTTCTAAATTAGCTGCACGATATAGAGCATTTAAATATATTATTTAATTATCACTCTCCAGATTATCCAGTGGAGCTCACACTTTCATCACATTTTTCTAACCTCACTTATCTGAAAGAACTTGTTTTGAAAGGCCGGATTTTTAAGAATCTGTAAGTAAACAATTTTAATCCTCTGAAAAACCTCCTAAATCTGACTTCCATAAATGTATCACTTAATTCCATTCAGCAGGTAGATATAGTTTTAATGACTGTCACATATGAAAGAGATTATTTTAAATAAAAATATGATTTCACCACCAAGAAAAACATCCTCTCTTGCTTCTCACCCAATAAGATATGCAAAAACGAATAAGTCAGTGTTTTACATCTGTAATAAAAGACTCCCTCGACGATGCTTGTCTAGTGCTCTTTTATTTCACGATAGTACAGCACAGCTTCGCTTCCCCTCTCTGATGATTTCCCTCTTCCAACCCCGTGGACGAGGTGCCTATCTCTCTTCGCGCTCCCACGAGGCTCACTCCGCTCTCCCGGCGTCGCCGCTGGCTGACGGCTTTCTGGGAGCGGAGGTGAGCTCCGAGGGAGGACCCGCTATGTGGCCCATGGCGAGGAGGAGATGAGCAGTGATGCGGCCCGGAACCCAGGCTCCCCACACCCACCTTGAGCCTTGCCCCAATCTCCCTTATATCCTACTCGGTGGAGCTAAGCCCCGCCTCTGGCTACACCCCCTCGGGGAACCTTCTCGAGGGTTCCCGAACCTCTGCCAGCCACCCCGCCCATCCTCTCTGACCCGATCATAGGATTGGATGCCGATGACATCATGGTGCCCGTACCTGTTACCCTCTAGTACCCCATAGATGGCGCTTTCTCATTACATCACCCCCCCCCCCCCCCCCCCCCATAACAAAAAGACTAGCCGTCCCATCTAGAGGTAAAACCCAATACGAGTAATGAGGAGACGCAAGCGCGGCCGCATGTGGTGTGCGTGCGGAGGGTAGCACTCAACAGGCCGAGGCCAACAACAAGATTGAACATTAACAAGAGAACAACATAGAACATTAACAAGAGAATAACAAATGAGTGCAGCCACCCAAAGAGGCGAGAATGCCGTGTGGCAAATTCAACCAAATCTAAGCGTATTGGAGGGAGTCCGTGATACCGGACCGACATCAGAAAATGCCCCCTGCTGTTCCTTTGTCGGTGCGCCGGGCGGCAGGATAAGCGATGGCGGAGTGGAAGGCTCCATCCCAGCAGGGTCGGCCCAGTCAGGATCGTAGTCCACATCGGCGGATATGGGCTCGGACACTGTGCGAGGTAAATCAGAGCCCTTCGAGCGGTCATCACTTAACCGCGCCGTCCCCAATTCGTCAGACATGTCAGACTTTGGCAGGCCAATGGGTGGAGATGAAGGGGTAAGCAGAGGAGGAACGAACGGCTTCAGCCACGAGGGGTGGACAAACCAACGTCGGCGGTCTGCCTGGATGCGCACACATTGTGGACGAATGATTCGGATCACCTCCACTGGTCTGCACCAGGGCTTATACAGCTTAGGAGAGGTGCCAACGCGAACTTGAGAGCAATGCAACCAAGTCCGGTCCCCGACAAACCATGGCGCAGCACAGTCAGACCTGTGTGCAAGATGTTCATTTCGCTCTTGTGTCTTGGCGGTATTGATGTTGGCCGCCTCCCGTGTGTCAGAGATACGTCGCAAGGAATTGCGCACGTGTTCCGGCAGTCTAGACTTAGAATCAGCAATCAGCACACCCAATTGGGTATAAATAGGTGGCACGTTCTCCCGGCCATACATAAGGAAGAACGGCGAAAACCCCATAGAAGCAGGAGGGGCCTATACGTAGCGAGCATGCTAGGCACATGCAGATCCCAATCCGCCTGCTTGGCATCCACCGTCTGACAGCATGGCGGATAGGGTTCTGTTCAGGCGTTCGACCATACCGTCTGTCTGAGGATGATACGGTGACGTCCTGATTTTCTTAGTGCCCAATGCATCACAAACCTCGCACAACAACTTAGAGGAGAAATTCCGGCCTTGGTCCATAAATAGTTGTTCGGGAGCACCCTTATCCATAACATACCCATTCAAAAATACGTCGGCAATGGAGGCCGCCGACTGGTTCGCTAGTGGCCAAGCCATCGGCTAGCGAGTGAAATATTCAACACCTACTAAGAGGAATTTGTCTCCTCTAGACGTGACCGGAAGGGGCCCCAAAATGTCGAGCACCACCAGCTCGTTGATACGTGAGACCAAAATAGACTGCAGCGGCTGGTGGCATTTCTGCTGCAGTGGTTTCCTCTGAGCACATTCCGTGCATGCTCGGATCCATTTGGAGACATTGGCCATCATACCCGGCCAATAATAATCCCGTTGCAATGTCAACAGAGACTTTTGCACTCCAAGGTGTAACAACTTTTCCCCGTGCAGAGCGCGAACGAAGCCACACCAAAGAGGAACAATAATGTGACAACGATCCAACGTTTCCTCCCTCCACATCAAAAGGCCATTGTGAAAAATTAACCAGCCATCACCTGCCTATGCTCAGCCTGACGCCGAAGATCCTGTAAGGAGACATCAAGCAGCTACTCGTGTATCCATACGGAGCGGGGAAGTCGCAAATCACTGTCAACCTGCACGTTCATGTCCAAAGGCTCAGAAGCAGTAACCGCAGACATAGCCGTACTTGTGAGGCGACGGGTCCACAACAACTCATACCAGACAGACACGGGCAGCGAGTTTATTGTGGCAGCCACGATAAAGCATCCATGTTGCAGTGGCGAGAACCTTTATAGTAAACAACGTTGAAAGATAATTCCTGCAAAATCTTTAGCCAACGAGAGAGCTGGCCAGATGGCTGTTCAATTTTCAAGGAGTACTGAAGAGCCGCATGATCGTTGCGGACAACAAATTCTCTGCCATAGAGGTAAGGCCTGTAAATAAACAATGGCCAAAAGTTCCCTCCGGGTAGCACAATAGCGGCGTTCTGCAGGTGAAAGGACATGGCTACCATACGTGACAACCCTTTCCACACCATCCTTAGTTTGAGAAAGGACAGTGCCGATGTCCGTATCGCTAGCGTTGGTGTCAAGGACAATCAGGATATCCGAGCGTGGGCACGTTCGACAGCCATTCACGGAAGGCAGAAAATGCAGCCTCCTCCTCCGAACCCCATTTAAACAACTTATTTTTAGAGGTCAATGCGTGTAACGGTCCAGTGACCATAGCGAAATTTGGCACGTACCTACGGTAGTATGACGCAAATCCTACAAAGCTGCGGACATCCCCCAAAGTCGCAGGGGTTGGCCAATCGCGGACACAGGCAGTCTTTTCAGGGTCTGTGGCAATGCCTGCAGAACTAACAATGTGACCGAAGTAATGCACAGAATTCTGCAGCAAATGACATTTAGCTGGTTTAAACTTCAAGTTAGCGGAGCGCATTCTATCGAAAACGGAGTGTAGGCGCTTGCAGATGTTGGTCAAAAGTGCGACTAAAAACAATAACGTCGTCTAAGTAAATGAGACGTGTCCCATTGTAAGTCGGCTAAAACGAGCTCCATCAACTACTGGAAAGTGGCCGGAGCCGAATTCAAGCCCATCGGAAGGCAATTGAACTGAAGGAGACCTTGAGGCGTGTGAAACGCGGTTTTTGGCTTTAACGACTCGACCAGGGGTAGCTGCCAAAACCTCGAAGACAGATCAACGGTGGAAAAATATTTTGCGCCGGACAAGGTGTCTAGAGGATCGTCCATCCGTGGAAGGGGATAGGCGTCGACCACCGAAACTTTTTTTTTATTTGCGGAAATCGACGCAAAACCTGAGGCCACTGTCCTTCTTTTTGACGAGTACAACAGGTGCGTCCCAAGGGCTATTAGAAGGGGAGATTATATCAGCGGCCAGCATGTTGTTGACCGCCCATTGCACGTGCTCCTTCTCCACTGGGCTCAACTGATGCAAGTTCTGCCGAATAGGGCTGGTGTCACCCATATCAATACGGTGTGATAGCAGGGTTGTATGACCCAGATCGAAC